CGCTCTCCTTTTCATGACTACAGGGCTCAAAGATTACACAGGAAAAAGAACACAAGCGACCCACATACATGGTAAATTAAATGCTGAAGAGAGACTAGAGGTGCAGTACAGTGGCAGAGCCCATGCTAAGCATATGGGAAGCACTGTGCTCCATCCCTAGCACCCACTCTCTACCCTCCTGATGGGAAGAAGGCAGGTGGCTGACCTCCCTAAGGTGCCAGACAGTAGCTGAAAGTCCCAGAAGGGCAGGAGCAGGGGGGCAAACTCCAGGTTCTTTGCTACCTTATCTCTGAGGACTGGTTGAACTCAGAACTTTAGGACATTCATGTGTAATTGTAAGGAAGTTTGTACAAACCATCCAAAGCAGTTTCTGTTCAAATCACTATGTCTAGAACCTAAATAAGAAGAGGAAGTTCAAAGACTCAATGGAGTGGGGCCCAGGAAAAGAAAATTTAATGATTTCAAAGACAAAGTCCAGTCAGAAACTGTGGGTATAAATGTTGCACTTACACTGTTTTGAACATGTCTCTTAACTCTGGTGTATCCCGTTTCCTAGAAGGCTTTAATTTTTATTTAAATTTTGTGGGCTGCAAGTATAGTACAGTGGTAGAGTGCTTGCCTAGCATGTGTGAGGCCTTGGGTTCAATCCTCAGCATTGCAAAAAGTGAAAATAAATTTTGTTTCATGTATGTGCTCCCATGCTCAGACATTATCTCTGGAAAGATACCAAAACTAGATGGGTGTGGGGGTACATGTCTGTAATTCCAGGTAGGTAAGAGATGAAGGATGTATTGTGTTCTGAGGCCACCCCAAGGCAAAAATGTGAGACCCTATCCAAAATAGGCTCTAAAGCAAAATACAACTAAAGCAAAAAGGGCTAGAGGTGTGGCTCAAGTGGTCAAGTACTTGCCTAGCAAGGGAAAGGCCCAGAGTTCAAATCTCAGTACTGCCCAAAAAAGAATTCCAAGAGTGGAGTCAGTCACAGTGTCTGACCAAGCTCTCCAGGAGATCCTGACAGGCTCTAGAGTTTAAGAATCCTTGGGCTAAAGAATTAGGATCTACTTTTTGGTGTTCCCACATCTAGGAAAAGTGTCCTGACCATTTTTGCTAACATTCACCTGTGGCAGTGATTTTAAACTCTGGTATATATAACTGTCACCCAGTGTGCATCCTCTCCACTAGCAGGCATTTCTCCCAGGATACAGGTGAGTACCCCAAGGAGTACATTTGCCTACAGTCTGGCCCATGTTCTTCTACTCCCTGCTCACAGTTCCCTGTCCCTGTCACTATTCTTCACCACTGCCCCATACATCTTCCACCTAGGTTCCAGTGCTCACCTCTCCCTCTTATACTGCATGCCACTGTCCCTCAAGGCCAGGCCCAGGCTCACCTCTCAAAGACTACACAGATCATTCACAGGAAGTCCTTCTCCCTCAGAGCTCCTCTAACCTCCACAGTGTGTAACATCCCAGAGCTCTGCTATAGTCTTACACACATTTCTAAGAGGGGTTTTTATTTTTGCTCAAATAAACATGAGTTATCCTAAACAAAAGTCACATTTGTTTTTTTTCCCACAACTTCCAAAGGAAAACTATAAAACCAGCAGGAAAGCTGCCAATCAGTACAAGATAAAATGGGTCTACTAATGTTCCCACAAATCCAAAACTTGTCCCTGAGTTTTTAAAACTGAAACACATAACTCGGAGCACTAACTTACTAACAACAAAATGCAGAACAATTACCACAACTACATACACTATTTAGTCAGGGGGAAAAAAATGATTCACAAAACTATAAAAAGCCAGTCACACTGTCAATAAAATTACATTTGAGTATAACGAAAATAGAAGTGAATTTCTTCAAGAGGCCTGGCTTCAAAGGCCAGCTCTGCCCATTCTCATTTGGGTAAACTGCGGCTTCAAGAATTATAATAATGAGAAAATACTTCCAAAAAAACATTAAGCATATAGCTAAGTTATTTATTAGTATCTCTACTTACATACAGACTGAAATTGACTTTACTGTAAATGAAATGGTCCATCATAACTAAATTCTTCACTAAAGACTGCAGTAGGCAAAAATTTTAAATAAATTTAATATACCTTTCTATAACACTCTTAACTTTCCAGGATTTTTTTTTCCTTTGTGTGTGGTGCTAGGGATTGAATCCAGGGCCTTGGACATACTAGCCAAGTGCTCTGCTACTGAGCAACCTACATCTTTAAATCTTGTTCCTCTATTATTTTCCCTCAAAATAATATAAACAAGCCTAAATATGGTGTTAATATGAAACTTGAACTTGAAAAATTAAAAGACTATAATCCAACTATCTAGGATGGTATTTCCTATCTTTATCAGTAAGCCCAGGAAGTTGTAAATGTGATTGTGAAAAAAAGTAAATAAAGTTTATTCCAGAGGAAAATGCCAATTATTAGAAGCCACTATTTTTCAGAAACAAATTATAAAGGAATCAAACGTCACAATATTTAAGTACCTACCCCAGGGTGGTCATGTGTGAAAGAAAGCAATCAATGACTTTAGGAAATACATACAGCAAGTTAAAAGAAAACTTCCAAGGAAAAGAAAATTGTGTATTTGAGGAACTTCTACATTAATGTGTATTTACCTCACAAATAACTACAATATTGCTGACAAAATACCCAGTCTTAAAAATTAAAGCCAGGCATGGTGAAACAAACCTGTAATCCCAGCAAATCAGAGGCTGAGGCAAGACAATCATGATCAGCTCGGGCTAAAAAATAAGACCCTATCTCAAAAAAGAAAAAAAAAAAAAAGGAATATGATATACATAAACCTATTTATAAAGTATTTTCTAATAACAAAAGTATATAACATACCACACACCACACAAAAGATAGAAACTTATACTGAATGCCAAAAAAATGCTCCCCAAAGACACACTGATTTGGGTTCTACATAAAGAACAATTATACTTCACTTTCTAATCACATAATTTTTTAAAGAACAAAAACTTTCATCAAATGTAATCAATAAGAAAAATTTACTTTGGGAGATGGGGATGTAGCGCAATGGTAGAGCATGTGTGAGGCCCTGGAACTGAAAAAAAAAAATATGTGTATACACTGAATTTTCTATACAATTATCTCTCCTTAGAGTGCATTTTAGAATTTGTGTTTCACAAAAAATAGTTTGGGAAATATTATAATTTATTAACAAATACTGGAGGATGTGCAAGAAGTATAAAACTTTTAAAGATATGCAAATGAACTACTGGTACATACAAAAAGGGAGCAAGGGGAATAAAACTCAAAAACATTATGCAGAGACAGGTGCCTGGTAGCTCACCACTGTAATCCTAGCTATTCAAGAGGCAGTGGTCAGGAGGATCACTGTTCAAAGCCAGCCCAGACAAAAAGTTTTTGAGACCCTATCTCAGAAAAACCCACCACAAAGAAAAAAAAGGGCTGGTGGAGTGGCTTAAGGTGTATACCCTGAGTTCAAGCCCCAGTACCGCAAAAAAAAAAAAATTATGCAGAGAGAAAGAGGACAGGCACAAAGAAGACACTCGACTACATGATTCCATTTATATGATGCTCCAGAAAAGGAAAAACTAATCAATGGTAGAGAAAGAACCATTAGTAGTTGCTTCTGGACAGCGTGGCTAGCAACGAACTGGGAAGGGTCATGAGGAAACTTTGAACAGAAGTAGTTCTGATAAAGGGTTAGGTTACATTGTCAAAACAGGATGAATGATAAACTTAAAATTTATGCATTTCATGGTGGTACATGCCTGTAATCCCAGGTACTCAGGAAAATGAAGTAGGACAGCTTGAACCAAGGAGTTCAAGACTAGCTTGGGCAACATAAGGAGGATTTTATTATGTATAAATTTTACATGGAAGAAAAAAGCTAAAACAAAACTCAAGATAATGGTGTGCCTGAAGTACCTAAAGAAGCTAAATAAGACACACCAATGGATGGACAGACGGCTGTCAAGCCCTGTGATAAACAAGAGGAGCCAAACACTTGTTGGGGATGGGCTTGTAGTCACTTACTGTAAACAGCTTTCAGTTATTCTATGTGTATATGGAAATTGTCAAATAAACATCAGAATAAAAAAGCTAACTTTGTTAGACAATGTAACTGAAAAGATACACTGATACTTTTCTTTATGTATTTTCTGGTAGACATGACCCCAGGGGATTCCACAGAGAGAAAAAGAAAACACTTTCTAAAATAGCAAGACCAACAAATTTAGCAGTGAGTCTCAACTGAGGCTTTCTGGATTCAAAAAGTTTAGGGTACAAGCATCCATTTCTTATAGAGGCCTTGATGGTAATTCTGATCCATTGCCAAAGTCAAGAACAACCAAACAATAGACTAATAGAGTTTTCATAACCACAGGACTATGGGAGATTGTTTGGTGTTATTTCCTTGTAGGCCAAAGGCTTCCAGAGTCTTTTATACACCCTTAAAGGAAAGTTTATAAGAAAAATTTCAGAAATAATTTCCACATAATCTTACAATAATCAATATTTAGTCAGGTGTGGTGGTGCATCCTTGAAAATTCCAGCACTTGGGAGGTAGAGGTAGGAGAATTTTGAATTCAAGGCCAGCATAGGCTACACAGTTAATTCCACACCAACCTGGGCTATATAAAGAGACCCTGCCTTAAAAAAAAAAAATGGTTAGCCATGGCAAATCTGTTTGAAAACTTAAATAAGGAAATAGTAACAATTTCCTGTAACCTGTACACTAGATATAAAATGAGACCAGTACAAACGCAAGGAGATGGTTTTGCAGTAAAAAATATCATCAATTCATATTAAACAATGAAATCTGGCCAGCTTAAAATATTAACATCTTAGACAACAATTAACAAAAAAAAACCCAAAACTTCAAAGAAGTACGTTCAAATGTTCCTGTTTCTACAGCACATAACAAAATTTCTATGAAAGGCAATTCCTAATGGTCTTTGCAAAATTAAAAAAAACAAAATACTAGTTCAAAGTGCTTACCTTTTCTAGGAGGCAGTTCTCCATTTTGGGTTAATTCTGTCCCAGTATATATAATCTCTCCATCTTTAACCATTTCATTCCACAGACCACAGAGTCCATCTCTTGTAAATGCAAGCTGATAACAACAAACAAGATAAACTTACAAAGTGCTCACACAGTGCAACTCTTAAAGAATGATGTAGGGAAAAATCCTTTCTTTTTATTTTATTCAGTTATTCAGTAATAAATCAATGATCGATTTATTCAATAATTTACCCAAAATAAATAATATTTAATGAAGATCATCCAAAAGGTAAAAAAAAAGGCACAGTACATAACAGTGTATATATCATGCTATCTTTTTTATTAGTTTATTAATTATACAAATAATGGGTTTATGACATTTTTACACATGTATGCAAGGTACTTTGATCATATTTACCACCTGTTACCCACACTTTCATTTCCCCTCCCACTGCTCCCCTTCCTATTCCCTAACAGTACCCCTTCTACTTTCATGTCTTTTTTTAACAGTACGAGGGCTTGAACTCAGAGTATCTCGCTTGCTAGGTAGGCTCTCTACCACCTGAGCCAGGCCTCCAGCTGTTTGTTACTGGTTTTTCTTTTTTAAAGATGCCAAATAAGAGATAACATGAAATACTTGTCATTCTGAATCTGGCTTACATCACTTAAAATGGAATTTCCAGTTCCATCCATTTTCTTACAATAACATGATTTCCTTTTTTTCTTTTGTGTTTTTTTTTTTTTTTTTTTTTTGCGGGGGGCAGGCAGAACTGGAGTTTGAACTCAGAGCTTCATGCTTGCTAGGGAGGGGTTCTACCTCTTGAGCCAAGCCTCCAGTCAATTTCATTCTTCTTGATGGCTGAGGACTACTCCCATGTGTATACATATACATGCCCATATTTTATTTATGCATCCATCTGTTAGTGGGCATCTAAGCTGATCCCATGACATGGTTACTGTGAATAGTACATGGTAATAAACATGGGTATGCAAGTATCTTTATTGTATGCTGCCTTTGATTCCTTCAGGTATATATACCCAGGATTGGTACAGCTGAACCATATGGTATTCTATTTTTAGGCTTTTCATTTTCTAGCAATAATGGGTTTTGAACTCAAGGCCTGTGGTGTACCACTTGAGCCACATCCTCAGCCCTTTTTGTTTTAATTTATCTTTCAGATAGGGTCTTGCTTTTTCCCAAAGCTGCCTCAGACCTCAATCGTCCTACTTCCACCTCTCATGTAGGAGAGGTTACAGATGTACACCACCCATGCTCAGCCCTGAACCTTGATTCTCCCTCTCTCTACTTCCAGAGTAGCTGGGATTAAACAGATACTCCACCATGCCCAGTTCAATGAAGTTTAAATTTGCATTTCCCTGATAGCTAGATGATGAACATTTTTTCACATATTTATTGATATTTCATTTTAAAAGTTTGTTTGGTTCATTTGCCCATTTATTAACTAGATTATTAGTTCTTTGGGTGTTTAATAGTTTGAGTAGTTATATACTCTAGATATTAATCATCTGTCAGGTGATTAGCTGGTAAAGATTTTCTCCTATTCTGTAGCTGTCTCTTCAATTCTGTTATTTCTTTTGCTGTGCAGAAGCTTTTTTAGTTGGATGCAATCCCATTTGTCAATTCTTTCTACTACTGCCTGAGATATGGACTCCTATTCAGAAAACAGGTGCCAATGCTATCTTTTCCTCTACCAGTTTCAAAATTTCAGATCTAAAGTTAAAGTCTTTGATATATTTTGAATTGTTTTTGTACAAGGTGAGTGATGTGATCTACTTTCGTCTTTTACACATGGATATCCAGTTTTCCTAGCACCATACATGGTTCATTTCTGGGTCTTCTATTTCTATTCCATTGGTCTACATGTCTGGGGTGTTTTTTTGTTTTTTGGGTTTTTTTTTTTTTTGGATTTTGGTGTTTGGTTTTTTTTAAACCATTATCATGCTGGTTTTTGTTACTATGGCTCTGTATTATAATTTGAGATTTGGTATTTTAATACCTACATACATAAGCATTTTTTTGCTTTGCTATGCCAACTTTTGTTAAAGATACAAGAAAAAAAGACATACATGCATGTACATGGTCTGAAAAGAGAAACCAAAAATGTGTAACAGTGACTTATTAGAAAATATTGAAGGGACATGGAGAAAGGCATCAAATGACAAATAAAATCAAAAGCAAGACTGTAAATATACTTTATATGTTTACTTATAAAATATATACAAAGTTTCCAACTTCCAAAACTAAGGTTACATCATTAAAAAAATCAAAAGCTACAAGTATCAATAAGCAAATCAAAAGGAAACAATTTTCATGGGACTTCTGAACTAAACATCATTAGTAGAATATATTCTAAGGGGAAAAAAATCTTAAAACTTTATTCAGATTAGATTGGGTGTATTCAACACAAAACTCAATCTGGAAAAAAAAAAAAGCAATAGAAACACAGGAATCAGTAAATACCTGTCAATCATAACCCTAAATTCAAACAATCTTAACTCTTTCTAATCAAAAGACACAGATTGTCTGACTGAACCAAAGAGCAAGATGCAATAATCTGTTGTCTACATAAAACACATCTCATAACTGAAGACCCACAAAAACTTGAGAAGGTTGAAAAAAAGATATAACATGCATGCAGAAACCAAAAGCAAGCAGAAGTAGCTATTCCCAAATCAGACAAAGCAAATTTTATGCAAAAATAAGTCAGAAGAGGCAGAGAAGGTCACTACATACTAATAAGCAGAACGATCCAGCAAGAAAATATAACAACTCTAAATACATATGCACCAAGTATTAGTGCCCAACGTTCATAAAACAAATACTTCTGAGCTTAAAAAAACAGATGGGTCCAGATAATAGTGGGAGATCTCAATACCACAATCTCTTCAACAGAATGTTCAGAAAAATTAACAAAGATATCCTAAAACTAAACAATACCATGGACAAAATGATCTTAACAGACATTTAGAGCATTCCATCCTATGGTAGCAGATTAATTCTTCCCAGTAGCCCATGGAACTTTCTCCAAAATAGCTCACATCCCAGGTTATAAAGCAAATCTCAACAAATACAAGAAAACCAAAATAATCCCTATGTCCTGACAGACCCTAACAGAATAAAATTAGAAATCAATGCCAAAGAAAATTCAAACTCATGGATAGTGAGCAACACACTTTTGAACAATTAATGCGTCAATGAAGAAATTAGGAAAGAATTAAGAACTCCAAAGATTCAAATGAAAATGAGGACCTTGGAGGACATGTGAGGTCCCACATCCAGCAAGTAGCAGAGCTCTATTCAAACTCAGAAAGAAAGAAGCAACAGAGTAGGTGAACAAACAGTTTGTACTCCCTTGAGCCAAAGAGCAAGGCACCAGCTCCCCCCAGAGAGGAGGAGAAACTGAAATCTTCACCCCAAAAACCCTGGAGAAGGTTGGTGCCCAAACTGGAAAGGTACTCAGTCCACAGCCTACTTCAGAAAAGCTGCTGGGACGCAGTGAGTAGAAGTGGCAGCTCACGGACTGGAGGCACGGCTCAAGTGATAGAGTGCCTGCTTAAACTCCAGTCCCATCAAAAATAAAACAGAAAGTGGCAACTCACAGAGATCCCGCAGAACGTGGCACTATGTGGTATGTCTTAGAAAAAAGTTACCTGAAGTGTGTGGCAGTGGTGGTGGTGGTGGTGGTGGTGGTGGTGGCGGGGCATGAACAACCAACCACAGCCACAACAACAGTGAGCCATGCTTCCAGCCCTAACCCAGAGACTACCACCAAAGACATCTGACAAAAATCTGTGTCTGGTGCATAAGTACAGACTGTTTAGTACTGGAGAGCTTGTAAGATGGGAAAGCTACAAGAGGGGATGGTGTAAAACTGCTGAGTTGACAGTACAAGCTCCTGAAGCCTTCAACAGAGATCATATTTTGATTCCCAAACACTCCCCTCTCACCCTCACTGGCACCATTCCAGAGGCAGATAGCCAATTTGAGGGCCATCTAGTGAACTGAAAGACTCAGACACTGAGGAAAAAAAAAAAAAATCAGCTACTCAGAATAGAAAATTCTCAGCTTTTATGTTAAGTTGGTTTTGTCCCTGTTAAGTTTGTGATGTATCAGGAACAGAAAACCAAGTAGAGGAATTAGATCAATCAGTCAAAGATTAGTTTGTTTGTATTTTCTTTTTCTGTACATTCCAAATGAGCAATTTTGCATTCTCTCTCTCCTTTTTTTCTCTTTAGTTCTACCTTATCTGTAGTCATCATGGGCTCCCTGGAACCTGCCTTTCAGCATGTAACCTTAAACTATTTCTTCTCCCCTTTCCTATCGCTTTTCTCCATTTATACTTTTCTCCTGTCAACAATCAAAACTGCTTTCTAGCTCATACCTTCCCCTTTCTCTGTTTATCCATTCACAAACCTCCTTTGATAACAATACTTTCGGTGGGCAAATAGATACCCAGATTATTTTTGCAGTTTGTTGTGCTTATATTTGTCTGACTGTTCAATTCTCTCCATTTCCTCCCTACTTTCCCCCATCTTAATATCTACAAGATTTCTTCTACCTATTCCAGTCTGTTTTTTCATTAATGCCTTGTATTAGCTCAGCCACTACCCCTTCCTGCAACATAAAACTTCACACCTCATATTATTTACCAGTTATCCCCTGTCTCCCTCCCATTGCTACCCTTATTTCTTTTAGTCCTCCAGGATCATGAAAATTCACCTTTGCTCCAAGAGAAAACTAAAGATACTGTAATAGTAGCAGTAACTGATCCTCTTTAGGGATGCTGTAATTTCAAGGCTGGAGCTTGTGATAACCTTAGCAGCTAAGCTTCCTCTCCCTGTGTGGAACAGGAAGTGGCATCCAGCATCTTGAGAACAAGAAGCTAAAGGACTGACACCCTACCATCTAAAGATAAGAAAACACACCAGAGCCCATCCACTACCCAGTCCTAAATAATCTTGCAGAAATCCACAACTAAAGGGACACAGGAGATTGAAATCTCCAATCAAAAATGACACTAGATGCATAATCTCAACACAGAAACATGATGCAACAAGGTAACAGCTCTCCCTCAAAAGCCAACTCCACCA